GGTCATCATCATCACTTGAGTGTTGAGACGCTGCCTTTGTGATATTGTCAGAGTTGCTAAAATGCATGGCTACCTCTCGGTTCTCAGAGAGCCTCATGTTTGAAGTAGCTGATAGTAACAGAGGTTGTCTTTATACAACCAGATAGACAGGGATGAGAGACAATTGATCTCTGGCCTCACAAACTACAAGAATCTGAGAGAGAAAGCCACAGGACACCGCCTCTAAGAGGGGAGATGGAAGGCAGGAAAATTCGCTCCGGGGTGTCTGACGCCTGGGAGTCAGAGGACAGTAAAACAAAGCGAAGGCCTTTCCTGCAAACCAGAAACCAGTGTCGCCAGCCAGCCATGGGGTATACCCCGACTCCCAGGAAGGTCCAGGCACAGGTGCCACCTCCTATCTGTGATGAGGACACCATCTCCACTTTTGCATTCTCCAGCTCCTTCTGTCACTCAGCGTGTGTGCTGGGTGGTCCAGTGCATACCAGGGACTCTTACACATGCATGCCGACCCTACACGTGTCCCTCTTCCCAGCAATCATTCTTCTCCTTCTTCCTTTGCCCTTTTGTACATTAGTTATTAAACTTGTATATCTTAGCCCCATTTTTCAGTAGCCTCTAAAGACGTGTACTTCTACTTCTCAGAACACTTCCGAGGTCCTCAGAGGATGGCGTGCCTGCAGCCCAGGCCAGGCCCCTTCGTGCTGGGCTCTAAGATCACCACGCCTCCTAACCAGACACTTCGTTTGTGCCACTCCAGTCCCCATGGCAGGAGCAACTCCTCTCTCTCACGAGCATGAGGATCACGATGTTATTGCTTATAAAGCCCTTAAGCTCTCTTTCAGGTGTGTTTCAAATCGTTATCTCCTTACACCGACCAGACAGATGTGAGTCCGCTGCCTGGTGACATCATCCTCTTGTTAGAAGAGCAGCAACTCACATTTCTATAGCAAATCGATAACACCGTGTGATAAATCCAAAATCGACAACAGCTATTTCTTTGTTTTAGGTTTTATTTTTCTTCAGAGAGAAACAAGTATGGCAAATATCTATCAATTTCTGTTTAATCTGATGACAAATCAATTGACAATGATAACAAGTGGTTATCTGCTTAGATATGTAACGTAGGCATTGGAAGGAATATTTTATCCTAACATTAGAACTAAGATTTTGTGTAAGTGCAAAGAGGACATCGTCTTCACCCCACTGTGTTACAGATCAGGAGGTTGGAGGTGGCTTGGTTACGGGGTTAAGTGACCCTCACGCACGTCATGCAGCCCTGAGCTGGGGAAATGAAGAACAAGCCCCTATGCTTGCTGGGCCGTTCCACCCCTCACATTCGACTTGCTTGAAGAACCTGCCAGAGGCTTCGTCTGGAACAGCACCTCAGTCTCATTCATCTCTATCACGAGTTTCTGCATTTTGACCATGAGCCTGTTCCAACATTCTCCGCTCATCATTAAAATAACTTTATTCCAACCTTGCAGCTTCCAAATTAATGCTGACTCTTTCATTATCAGAAACAAGCAATGATTTAGAGTATCACTGAACTAAAATCAGAATGTTTTACCTTGAGGTTTAATTCTCTCTAAAATCTAGTCAGATGCTCCACATCCTGGTTTCACCATCATATCAGCACAAATCTTGAATATTTCATTTCCTAATCTGTCATCCTTGTAATCTCCTATTTTACAAATGCTCTGTTCTTTTTTATAATATGCAGGCCATTTTATAAATGGCCTGCCTATTATAAACAGTATTGAATAGCTTATTTCTTTCTCTAATCAACCTGATTTATTTGTCTTTTATTTGTCTACTCAACATCCATCCATCCATTCATTCATCCACTCACTCATTCACCTATTCGTTTTTTAATTAAGCATTTCACTAATTTCTTCAGCACTTACTATGTTCTAGACAGTGTCCTGGGGATACGAAGATAGATAGACAGATAGATAGATAGATAGATAGATAGATAGATAGATAGATAGATAGATAGAATAGATGATAGGTAGATAATTCTTTGTCACTATCTTTAAGGTACACAAAATTTTGTAGGAGAGTCCATGATATACCAACTTCTTATAATACAATTAATGTCTTTAGTGCAATAGAGCAAAAATAGGTCCAGGGCTTTATGACTAAGTGCTCAAGCCTAGCAGGTGTTTTGATGCCTGTGGAATCACCACCTGTAAGTCCCACTAATTCAATCGCCACTTGTGCCTAACGTGCCCAATATTCAGTAGGAAAGAGATGCAAGAAAATAATTAGAGTTCCTAATATCTCTTTTGCCCACCATTAGATATCCATGTTTGCGATCTTCTGGGCAATTTTCAGGCCTGCTGGCATCACAAGTTCCTCCACCTAGACTTGGATAATGGGTGAATCAGCAAGAAGCACTTTTCCTGAGCCCAAGTTCTAAAATCTCCACAGCAACAGCCCTAATGAAAAAGGTAATATCTCCCACTTCTCCTTTCTATTGCCTTTTTGTTTGGTTTTCACGGGAATCTATTTGTGAGTGTTTGCTATAGGCAGAAGCTTTCCTCATCTCCACTTTTGATTATGAGAACAGTGTTGCGCGGTGGCTGCCCAGGGGGAGGTGGTGGGCAGGGTCAGAGTGCGCACACACGTGTGTTCATGTGTGCTGTGTACATGTGCTGCTGGGCTCCAGGAACTACTGGCTATCACAGTGAGCGGTGACACGAAGGCCTGTAATTCTGTGTTGAAAATAATTATTTCCAGCCTAGAACTTGCAGTCTCGCTGGAATGAAATACACAGAAAATAGTCAGGACAGCCCAATCTATGTCTGAGCCTCAAGATTTAAAGATAATTTATATCCAAAAATACATACTGCTATGTCTTCTTACCTTTCCATTTTCACAGCTAGCTGCCAATTTAAGTAAGTATCATTGCTTTAGTTAAGGGCTTTAGTAATAAAATAATAATAACTTCACAAACAGGAAGAGATTCTATAAATCCTGAGTTTCACACCAGGAAACCACTCCAGAAAACACTTTGTGTACTAATAGCTGTAAAAAAAGTCAGGAACCTGACTTAAATAATTTCTTTCCTTTATGTATGCTTGGGGGAGGAGGCATTTCTGGTTCTACTTGTAACATGTGCATGTGAGGTTACACACAGATTTCTTTCCTGGAAAATTGGAAATCATCATCATCAAAACTGTAAAATGATCAAATACTGGCACAATTATTTTCTTCAGGAATCTCACAAATTCATCTGGGGGAGTGGATCTGAAATCTAAAATCTGAAAACATTTATTTCACTTTATGATTCTTTTTACTCTACATTCTTTTCTAATTTTTTTCCTTGACTGCAACATTGGTATCTCTGTTTCTCATGGTCTGTCTTCGCCTCAGTCGTGCAGTTGGTATCTAGGGGGCCTTTCAGCTGAAAGTAGGTCCGCAGCCCGACGCTGGTGGTCCACGTTTTCCTGTCGGGTCTGCGGGTTGCATCTGCCTCCCGTGACCTCGGAGGGGATCTGTGTGCGTCCTGAGAGGGAGGCAGCCTGGGAAACCAGGGTGGCTTGCAGAAGACGCCCGCCATTTGCACAGAGCTAGCGGAGGCAGCTGGCCTGTGTGAGTGTGTGTGCACGTGTGCGTGAGCGTGTATGGGTGTGTGTGTGTACGCTCATGTGTGTGTGTGTTTATATGCGTGTATGTGCACGTGCATGTGTGTGAGCGTGTGTGTGTGTGTGCACACGTATATGCTCATGTGCTTGTGTGTGTGTGTGCGTTTATGTGCGTGTATGTGTGAGTGGGTATGCTTATGAGCATGTGTGAGAGTGTGTATGGGTGTGTGCGCACGTGTATGCTCATGTGCTTGTGTGTGCACATGTCTGCGTGCGTTTATGTGCGTGTATGTGTGTGAGTGTGTATGGGTGTGTGTGTGCATGTATGCTTATGTGCGTGTGTGCGTGCATTTATGTGCATGTGCGTGTATGCACGTGTTTGTGTGTGTGTGTGTGTATACGTGCGTGTGCATGTGTGTTGAGGGGCTGTTGCTCAGGAAGCGAGGGCCAGGGCATGTCCTGGATAGAGACAGCTTCCTGGGGGAAAGCCTTGTTCTAAGGCAGCAGGGCAGTCTCGCACCTGCACGGCTGCTCCTGGGATTTGGAAAGGGCACAGACGGGAAGTTGGAGAGACGGCCTGGGGCAGTGGGGCAGGCGTTAATGAGCATGTCTGGAACTCCATCCCTCGCCTTGCAGAGGAGGCAAGGAGCTGTCCAACTGTCTCCTCAGTAGTGGCACCGTCAGTGCTATGGTTTGGAGGTTTGTCCCCTCCAACTCTCGTGTTGAAACCAGATCCCCAGTGTTGGAGGTGGGGCCTGGTGGGGGATGCTGAGGTCAGGAGTGGATCCTTCATGAGTGTCTTGATGCCGTCCTCCTGGTCATGAACGAGTTCTTGCTCTGTACGTTGCAGTGAGAGCTGACTGGTAGGAAGAGCCCGGCCCCCCCACCGCCTCTCTCACCACGTGATCTCTGCACAGGCAGCTCCCCTCCCCCTCGGCCTCCCCTCCCCCTCGGCCACGAGTGAAGCTTCCTGAGGCCTCACCAGACGCAGATGCTGGTGCCACGCTTCCTGTACAGCCTGCCGAGCCACGGCTGCACAAACCTTTCTTCTTCATAAATCACCCAGCCTCGGGTGTTCCTTTCTAGCAACACACACGGACTAAGCCGGACGACATGACGTGGCTGCTCCCGCCGCCTCCTGGCACCTCCCTGACTCACGCGCTTGGTGCATGGTGGGGTCATGAGCGGGCACAGGCAGCCACTTCGCTGCTTGCATCATCGGCCCCATATAGTTCCCCACAGGTGAGTCCTGGCATGGAAACATCCCCTGCATCTTAATTTAATTTGTTAATAGTTATGTGAAATAGAGAAAATAACTTATTCGTGCACAGCTCTGACTTCCGAACGAAACCTACTCCAGCTCTTTGGAAGCCTCCACGTTTGGGGATGATATTAACCGAGTGACCACAGAGGAGAGAGGCACTGCCCTTCTCTTCAACCCAGAAACTGGTCAGGAGCCTGAGGAGAGTGACGAAGGGAAAGAATTCCTATAGGAACTTCTCCCTCCGCTTCCCTCAGTTTGAAAGCACAGTGCTCCCCACAGCATCTCACTTCCAATTCCTTGTGGAGATCTGCTTCTTGTACTTATCACATCCTCATTTACGATATGACTCTGCTAGTATTTTAAATACGCGTCTACCGTCCCTTATAGAGACGTTCTCATCCCCACACAGATGAAAGGTTACGAGAGTTTTCTTTCCCAGTACCTAGGATTCTGTTTTGATGATTTTTACGGGGTTTGCTTACAGTAGTAACTCAGCAAACTGCCTGATGCTATTTAAAAACTTCTTCCTCCTTGATTTTCATTTTGAATCAAGCAAACACCATAATCCACAAAAACTAAATTAAAATCAATGCCCTTAACATGACTGGCAAGAAGGATGCTATTTCTGTTGTAAAAAGACTTGATATACATAATAGGATGATTAGAAAGTTAAAAATATAATATTGTGAGATGCTATTTGGTTTGGTAAGACAGGGGTAAGATAGTCTTATTGGAATCATTTTCTTCAGTTTGATCACACATCTCATCAGAGGAGTAGGAGAGCTGCCCAGCGTGAGATATTTGAAGGGGTGTTGGCAAGAACATCCGATGGACGACGGAAGAGAGGGGCCCAGCGGCAGGGCGAGAAGCAGATGAGTGATGGGTCTTGGCTGTCGTCAACATTCACAAATCTATCATTCTGGATGCACAAATTAAAGTTATTCACTAAGCAAGAATGCCGTTGAACTGTACCTTATAAAAATCCTGAAGTAAGTAGAAAAATGCCAGGCTGATATATCTGTGCAGTAAGAGACATATAATCCTGCCTCCATCATTACAGCCCCCACGCTTTATGGACTCCCCTCTTGGAGGTGGCTGTGAATAATCCGAATGCGTGCACAGCCTCACGACAAACTCGTGTCCATGGCTGTGGGCTACGTTCTCGCCAATGACAGTGTCTTCGGCCAACACACCTGAGTTTACTGCATTAACGTTACTGTGCGATCCAGCAACTCCAGGCCTCCTGTGAGCGCCCGTGTTCACTTCCTAAACTGCTGGTCTACCCGGATTTTTAAAGCGTCATATCAAATACTGTTCCTCCATTTCTGGTTCCTTTCAAGCTGCACTGGTATCGATGTTTGGACCCCGGCCACATTTCATATTTATGTAACTGATCTGACAGTGCAGGTGAATCTATGAGCAGCTACTTATTGAGTCCCTGCTGTATGTGAGGCACTCAGGAAGGACTTATGGACGCGCCAAAGTACTGCTGATGATAGTGGTGCGAGGAACACACTTTTACTCCTGTTTTATAGAGGTAAATCGTGGCACAGAATTTCACGTTACTCGTCTGAGGTCTTTGGTCATCCCAGCAGTGCCCGGTGTGAGCCCTCTCAAGTTCTGCGTGGTTTTCCCATCACCCACACCCTTCCCATCGTGCTGGTTGATGGCACTCTTGCCTGTTGGGCGAGAAAGCCCTTTCCTGGACAGGTGATGCCCTTTGTAGTGAAATCAGTTAGATGCTGTCGCGTTTGGTCAGACGCTGAACCACAGATTTTAGAATGAGGCAATGATGGCTGAGAGGAAAATGGTTGCTGTTGCCACCAGCAGAATGTGTGGAATTGGGATTTTGAAAGCGAATTTACCCTGTGGGATCTGCCCTCTATGAGCTCCAGATTGGACTCGTCCTGCTCTTGTGGTCTGTCCCTTCCTAGGTTCCCACGGTTCTCTCTTTCCCTCAGTGTAGCTTTGCTTTGGACTACTGTTTGGGACAAGATGTTGCTTGTGAGTAGGTCTGACTGCAGGAGCCAAGCAGCACCACCCCAGCAAATCCCCCAATCAGTCCACGCACCACGCCCAACACTGTGTGTCTCCCACACATTGAGGGGGAAGATTAGGGAAGGCGAGGACCTGAGAAATCTGACTCCCTGGGGTCATCAGCAACCACGAGACACCTGCCTGAATCTGCCCCTGCACAGTGGCTATGGTCATCCTTGGACCTGGGCCCCACACCCTTCCACTCTTCTGATGCAACGTCACCTCTCCTGTGACCCCTTCCATAGTTTTCCCCTCACCGACACCCTTATCACCAGATTCTAAACATTTTCAAATCTCCCCCATTTAAAAAATAGCCCTCGTTGGGCCCCTCTGCCCCCGCAACTCAGTAGCTTCCATGTGAGGGGGAGGCTTGCCCGGGAGACAGGACAATGTCGGCAGAAACTATTGGTTGTGAGTCTTGTGGGCAGTGCTGCTGCGTCTAGAGGGCACAGTTCAGGGGCACATGCAGGGCAAAGGACAGGGGATCTTCAGCACCAGCGCATGGCTGGGAAGCTGCTCTCTGCTCCCTTGTGACTGTGGGCATACATCCACTGCCCCCTGCCACCACGGACACCCATCCACTGACCCCTGCCGCTGCAGGGACCCGTCCACTGCTCCTGCCACCACAGGCACCCATCCACTGTCCTTGCCATTGTGGGCACCCGTCCACTGCTCCTGCCACCGCAGGCACCCATCCACTGTCCTTGCCATTGTGGGCACC